CAGGATTTGAATGCAGACAGAACAACGCCGGAGTCCATGCCTTTTATGGCTCTGCGGTTGTCTCTCCCTGCCCTAGCTGCTAGAACACTCTTGCTTTTTTCTCACTTCTTCAGAAATCCACCTACTACTTCCTTAGTGCTAGCATTAGGAAAACGATCTGATTTATGCAATAAGAATATACCAATGAATAACTTACAGTCTGTTTTTAACATTTAGGATGCAGTGTTGGCATCTTAAACATTGCGATGCTTTTCATTTTGTGATGGTTGTCTAATGATAGTTTACCGTTTTGTAGTACTATACATTTACATACATACATATATATTTATAAATATTTATATACATGCACATTTCTTAATAAAATGATAGTTTTAAAAATACATCAAGTATTAGAAAAATATCCCCATTTACTGTCCCTTTTACAGTAAGTACAGATATTTGGAGAACATTGCACTATATATGCTTTATGAAATTTTAGGTTAACAGGAAAGATTTCCATCTACTCTGTGGATTTTCTGTGTAACATTTAAAGAAGTAAAAGAGTAAGTGAGGGAGTAAAATGAAATAATCTTCCTGAGCCAAATAGTAAAGATATTCTTCATAAATAGAGACAATAGCTCTATGTATTTATTATTTGAAACAATTATCTTTTAGTGGTGATTAATTTATGTTAATCCATATCTACAGTGGATAAGAATACTCTCCTTTGGCTAATTTAACAATTCAATATATATTTGTTAAATTACTATTCTATGTAATAAACTATGCTAAGTACTACAATACATCAAAAAGGTTATAAACTATGATATAGTCCTTGCTTTTCAGAAGCTTCAATTCTAAAAAGAGAGAAAATTATAGAAAATAAATACAGTATATGTTTAGGTATTTTAAGAACAATGAGACAAAACAACAGGCTATTGGAATTTGGAGAACTAAGTGTTAATAATATGTGGTTAGTAGAAAGAGGAAAAGATTTCTGAAGATGATATTATGTAAAATGACCTTGAGGAATCAGTAGCATTTCAACAGATGGAAATGGGGGAAGCATAGGGATTTCAGGAGCCCTGGAACCCTGAAGACAAGTACCTACTGCCATCCCTGGTTCTCGTACCTCCCTGCTCAGAAATAGAAACACAAAAATAAAGTGGAACAGAACAAACAAATTAAAACTGCCTTGCCTCCTGTTGGAAGCTAGAGATCTTGAGTCCTGAGTAAGAAATAAAGGTGAGTGAAGCCATATTTCTATAATCTTGGTGAAGGACTAAAAGCCCGATTCCTAAAAATAAGTTTGCACCCCTTGGAGCACCTGTGGATGTCCTCACAACTGACCAGGTGGATCCTCAGGATAGAGTGCTGGACTGCCCTGACTCTTGCAGCTCCAGAAAGCTCCAATTATGATATTAACCCTTGTCCCGCCACAAAGGAGATGAGACCTTGGGCTAAGAATAGCATGCTTAAACTATACCTGAGAACACAAAACATCCACTCCACATCCTAACAGTTTGTGTGTGTGTGTGTGTGTGTGTGTGTGTGTGTGTGTGTGTGAAGTAACATAATAATAAGAGATATCATATAGGACAAAAAAGTAAATTTACTGTGCCAACCCAGAAGACTCAATCTCACTAGTAAGGGTTCTAAAAAAAAAAAAAAAAGAAAAAAGAAAAAAGGAAGAAAGAAAAAAATATGGAGAGACAGTTTCCACAACTGAAGAATATAAGCCTCTAGATTGAAAGAGCTCATTGAGCACCCAACACAATGAATGAAAAGAAACACACACACAACCATTCAGGTTGTTAAATTCAGTTCTATTATTTCCCTTAATTATCTTCCCAAAGTAATTTCATCATAACTTTTTATTAGTCAATATTAATATTATATACACAAAGGCATTGCATGCTGTAATTTCAGAACACCAGAGATAAAATTGTAAAAGCATCCAGAAGAAATAAAAAAGAGACAAAACAAATCTAGGTCACATGTAAGTAATCGGACTTCTCAACTTTAACATGGGATAGTAAAAAGTATTGTACCAAAGCTCTCAAAATTCTGATTAAAAGTCATTTTTTTCAGCCTAGACTTCTCCACCCAACCAATTAAGTATGAGACAACAATTTAAAAATTTCCAGTAACATAAATGTACAATACAATATCACATATGTAACATTCTTTCAAAAATATTAAATCTGAATGTAATTATGAGAATAATCAGACAAATACAGAATGTGGGGTGGTGTACAAAACAGTTGGTTTGGACCACTCAAAAAAGTGGGAAGCAATAAAAGGTTGGAGAACTATGCTAGCTCTAAAAACATTAAACAGATATAATCATCAAATGCAATTCAAAATTCTTTATTGGGTTCTGATTTTTAAAAAATAGCTATGCAAGATTAAAATAGCTATAAAATTCACAGATGCTTGGGACAATTGTAGACATTTAACTAGGGACTTCACAGTAATGTGAAATTATTGTGATTTTTAAGGAGTAATAATATTATATTTATGTAGAAGAATGTCCCTACACTCAGGAGATAAAAACTGAAGTATTTGGGGATAAAATATCATGTTTCTGGAACTAATTTGCAAATGGTTTCTTAAAAAAATGTATATATAAGGTAACACAAATAAGACAAAATGTCAATAATTGTTGAATCTAGGTGAAGGGTAGATGAGTTTCCATAGACCTCTTGTTCCAACTTTTGTATAATTGAAATTTATCACCAAAAAAACAAAAACAGAAAAGCTACAGTGAGTAGGGGGGCAGTGTAAAGCTAAGCAAAAAAGAATCAAAATATTTTTCTCCAAAATGTCTCTTAAGAGAGGTTATTGAAAGAGATGTTTCAGCAAGAAATTAAAGCAAGGAAAAGATGGAATCTGGCCAAAGGAAATTCAACACCAACAATAGTGAAAGAGGCCTTAGGAAAACACCTTGGCCTTCAGGCCTAGAAATTCATCAATGTGGACCAGAGTGCAATGACACGGTTCTTCCAGTCATAGTCTCCATGCTACACATAAAAACATTATGGATAAGCTGATGTCTTTGAATCTTAGAAATATTACTGCTAGTTTAATAGGACCATTGGGACAACTGATGGAGGCATTTCCAAATATTTGGAAAACCAAGAAAATAATAAGATGAATGAATAATTATCAACTTTGGAAGAAAGGAAAAGGTGTATGAGAATAAAAACAGAATTATATTAAATAATTCATGTCATAAGAGGATACAATTATGTATTGTCACTCAATAATATTAATATTGACTAATAAAAAATTATGATGAAACTATATTGGGAAGATAAGTAAGGGAAATAATAGAACTAAATTTAACAACCTGAATGGACAGTCAATAGAAAATGACAAAATTTATAAATCCAACAACAATCACTTAGCTGTATTACTTAATAACACAAAAATAAATACTAAAATAATCAATGAAAATACTGAAAGAGAGCTGAAGGTTAAAGGAGAACAAGACAAGGAACTACTATTTTGGGACATAAACTTGTTTGTATTATTTCTAAATAATCTGCATGTAATTATTTTATAAATACTAAAATTAACTGTAGAACATTAAAACTTCATATGTAAATAATAGCATTATATAAAGGTTAAACCACATGAAAATGAAGAAATAAATAAAATTTTTAGAAGTTTGTTAAGTTGATAAATATATTAGTCTTTTCATTAAATGAACTTAAAAGTGTTAGCCAAGGTTAATGTCAAAGATTTCACATGTAGGTATTTTCTACTGAAACTCTTGAACACGATGAAGAGAGATTTGTAAGCCTCCAGAAATGAAAAGAATTTATGAAGTGGTAGGGTAGGGTGGAGGGTGGAATTGTATTCCAGGGAAAGAGATGCACCAGTACCAGGCACAGAAAACCTGAAGGTTTTTCCAGAAGTAGGGAATAATCGAGATGGATGGTTAGTGTTTAAAATTAATGACCACAAAGAGAAACAAAACTAAATCATTCAGAGTGACTGATAACTGGAGTGTATAATTACTAGCTTGTTTGAACATGCTGCTATGACAAATCTGCATTAGCATGTTAGTGTAATTTACTCGAGTAATAAATCTCATCACATAACATTATTTTACTTATTAGATTTAAAAATCATATAATGTACACAGGTACACAAAGTCTTTTTTTTTCCTTTCTTTTTTTTTTTTTTGAGACAGAGTTTCACTCTTGTTGCCCAGGCTGGAGTGCAATGGCACAATCTCAGCTCACTGCAACCTCTGCCTTTCAGGTTCAAGTGATTCCCCTGCCTTAGCCTCCTGAGTGACTGGGATTACAGGCGTACACCACCATGCCTGGCTAAATTTTTTTGTATTTTTTAGTAGAGATGGGGTTTCGCCATGTTGACCAGGCTGGTCTCGAACTCCTGACCTCAGCTGATCTGTCCACCTTGGCCTCGCCAAGTGCTGGGATTACAGGCGTGAGCCACCAGGCCCAACCACAAAGTCTTTATTTCACTTATTCTTTCCTTTTTTCTTCCCTCTTTTTTTCTTTTATTTATTTATTTTAATCAGCAATGACTCCATAATTTTTACTGAAAGCTGACTACAATTTAAGGATCCTGTAGTTTATAGTTTCTGTCTTAATTGTGATTATTAAAAGGAGAAGAAAAAACTCCCAGTGGGGTAGTAACAAACATGTTAACACCACCATTAGGTTATCACAGTTGTTCTTGTATACCCAAATAGAAAAACTTATTTTGAATTTCTTAGTCATTATTATTGATGAAAATTGTAAATAAGTCTTAGATAAGTATTGCTGCTTCAGTGATATGCTGAGTTTAATAAACATTAATACCTGATCAATGAAATATTATTTAAGATTATTTGAGAATTATTAATCTAGTAAAATGTGATATGTGGTTACTTACCCAACATAAAATCTAAACCAAGATCACATTGTGTAAAATTGTGCTAACTGAAAATAGATCAAAGTTAATCAAATTGATTGCTAACAGGTGTTTCTACCACTTTTTGTCTCAGGGTTATGATGATGGCTACGGGGGTGAATATGATGACCAGACCTATGAAGCTTATGATAACAGCTATGCGACCCAAACACAAAGGTAAGGCATTTGCTATCTAAAGCAGCCTTCTCCGAATTATCTCTTATCAATTTTGTTTCTTGAATCTGAGTGTCAATTATATCATGTGAGGATTTCTAGTAGTGTTTTTCTCCATTATCTCTCTGAATTATTAAGTTGCTTACCAGACTGTGAGAGGTAAACTATAATAACCTTGCAACTGCAAACAAAGAAATAGTAGTGTGTCATTCTGAGACTAGATGATCATGGTAACCAATCAACTCATTAAATAAGCTTGCATTTAACTAAATGTTATTTTTAGATTTTTAAAAAAGACAATAATAAAAGTAAGGCACTTGTTCAATGTAGCTTTTTTTTCCTAAAATGTCATATTGATTTGTAAAGATAATAAAATGTCATTGGTACTCTGGAAAGAGGGAAATTCTTGAAACATCTTAGGGAATCAAGAATTCCTTTGCTTTCTTGATAGATCTCATATTGATTGTTGAATATATCTCTTTAGATTGACCCAAAATTTGGGATATAAATGATTGTTTACTTCTTCAAAGTCAGATTTATTGAGATGTTATTTACATATAATGAAATTTGCCCATTTAGAATATAGATGTATATGTTTGGCAGATGCAAACTACTGTGTAACGACCACCGAAGTTAAGATATAGAGCATTTTAGCATCCAAAAATGCTTCTTCATGGCCCTTTGTAGTCAACTTCTCCCTCATCCTCAGGCCCTGGAAACCAACTATCTGTTTTTCGTTACCACAGTTTTACCTTCTCTAGAACGTCTTGTAAGAAGAAGCAATACAATAATGTAATGTTTGAGTCTGGCTTTTATTTTTGTTAACTATGAATAAAATAGATGTAAAACAAATGCATTTTTAGAAAATTCAATCACCCACAGGTTTTCTTCTTTAAAATGTTATAAATTTCATAGAAAAATACAGGGGGCCTATGTGATAGTTAAGTGAGTCTCCCATTTATGTGATTGACAGAAGCCAATGGAACTTACTGTTGCAAAATCATTATAGCATTGATCATTTATTGGCCAACTTTATTGGCACCGATGGAGACTTAATTAATAAACCTCCTTTAGGACTTAAGTAATATTTGAGTGAGGGGAAGTGGCAAAAAAGAAACAACTTTAAGGTCATTATAGATTAGAAGAAATCTACACGTATTGAGGAAGTTTGAGTTTTCCATGGCGTGAGTGACAGCACAGTAAAAGTATTGAAGGGAAATTTTATTTAGAGGGAATACTGTGGGCAATGAGAGATAAGTGTGAACTGATACCTTTAAAGCTAAGTATGACTTAAGTTATCACTGTAGAAATGACCATCACTGAAACTGAATAATTGGTTAATTTGTAGTAAGTTAAATAGAGAAGCCATCATGAGCCAAGAGCTTTTGCGGTAATATCTTAATTGTTCCAATTACATATTGGAAAACAACACAGTTATTTAGGCTTAGGGTAATTTTTGCATCACATTACAGATACTGAACAGAGTATTATATGCAAATTGGCTACATGTTTAGACCATCTGTGAAAATTTTCAATCAAATTGTTAGTTTATCATTATACATTAGCACATAAAAATAGTGATAACAAAGTTCCATAACTAGTTTCAGAAACCCTTGATAGAAAGTGTGGTTGCCATACTCGACAAACACAATTAGAATAGACTAAAATAATTTCTTGATGCAGCTCTATAGAGCTACATTTAAATAGAAGACATTTTGGAATAATTTTCTGAAAATGAGGGACTTTCTCTCTCTTATGGTGAGATTTAAGTGGGCTTAACTGACCCTAAGAAACAAGAAGAAAAATATGGGATTAAGATAATTTAGCTTTGAATATCTGAAAAATAAATATTAGAATTATTGAACACACACACACACACACATAGTAATGGCTATATACAATAATTTTAGAATAAAACTTGCTTTAATAAAGTATAATTTATATGTAAAGGGACATTTTCTACACACTTCTGCTGTCTTCCCTGTCTCCTTTCCTATCCACTCAATTTTTGTAGCTAAATCCTTCCCATCCTTCCAGCCCCAGCTCAAAAACCAACTCTTCTAAAAAGTCTTTTCTCTATTGTGTTTTGGGGAATAATATGTTTCTGCCCTGAATTCCAATAGCACCATATATTTACTTTTCTATAGCATTTATTTCTCTGCCTTACGTTGGGATTATTTGTGTACATGTCCCTTATCACTTTCACTATTTGTTCCAAATCCTTTTCTAATACAGCCTCATGTCTTTCACAATACCAGGTACGAGGTCTTTCATGGGATACGCACTGAAGGGATAATTGTTGAGTATGTGAATGTCAAGCCTAATATGTTCTACACTATGGGGATACAAAATAAGAGCCTCATTCCTCAAAGAGAATAAAAAAATCAGAATTATATATATCATATTTACTGACAGAATATTTATGTGCTTCTCTGATACTTTACTGTTAAGCCAGAGGGACAAAGAAAGTAGGTAATGCAATTAGTTGCAGTGATGCTAATGTCTATATTACAATAATGATAAAATGCCTATTTTGGTCAAAATTATATCCTCAATACTAGTACGGTTTCTGGAACACTAGAGGTTCTCAATAAAGATTTGTTGAATAAATACATGAAAAATGAGTAAATGCATTAATTAGTAAACTATTTTTTCAGAAAACTCTGTGAAAAATAATTTTTTTTAATATCATGCCATTTTCTAATTGAAATAGATACACACACTAGAGTTCTTATTAGGTAAGATGTTTAATGCCTGCCTTTAGATTTTTTAAAATCAATTGTATTTTATCAAAATTAAATTTTGTTCTCTAAAAGACACTGTTAGTAAATAAAATGGCAAGCTACAAACTGTGAAGCAATATTAGCAAAATATCTATTTCTAAAGGATATCTTTGATTGTATCCAAAATATGTAAAAACTACTAAAACTTTAGAATCAGATAAATAACCTGACTTTTTAAAAAATGGGCAAAAAATTTGAAAGACATTTCACCAAAGAAGATATACAAATTGCAAGTAAGAATCTAAAATATGTTCAATATCATTATTCATTAGGAAATTTGAAATTAAAACCACAATTAGATACTAGTACAGATTGTGGAATGGCTAACATTAAACAGATTGAATTATCAAATGTTAGTGAGGATGTGGAGCAACTGCAATGCTCATATATTGCTGATAGGGATGTAATACTGTAAACCACTTTGGAAAACAACTAGGCAGTTGCTTATGAAGTTGACCTACATTTACCATATGACCCAGCAACTCTTCTGTTCAGTATTTACCCAAGTGAAATGAAAACATTCATCTGTCGTAAAGGTTTGTTGTACAGATTATTTCATCACCCAGGTTTTAAGCCTCATACCATCAGTTCTTTTTCCTGATCCTCTCCCTCCTCCTGAAGGTCAAAAGGCCCCAGTGTATGTTGTTCACCAATGTGTGCCCATGTGTTCTCATCATTTAGCTCCCACTTATAAGTGGGAACATGTGGTATTTTGTTTTCTGTTTCTGTGTTAGTTTGCTAAGGATAATGGCCCCCACTTCCATCCATGTGTCTGCAAAGGACATGATCTCGTTCTTTTTTATGGTTGCATTGTATTCCATGGTGTATACCTACCACATTTTCTTCATTCCGTCTATCAGTGATGGGCATTTAGGTTGATTCCATGTCTTTGCTATTGTGACTAGTGCTGCAATAAACATACACATGCATGTGTTTTTATAATAGAATGATTTATATTCCTTTGGGTATATACCCAGTAATGGGATTGATGGGTAGAGTGGTATTTTTTACTTTAGGTCTTTGAGGAATCATTACGTTGCCTTTCACAATGGCTGAACTAATTTAATAATAAGCCTTCACTTATATTCCTGAATGTAAAAGTTTTTTTAAAAAGAAAATATAGTAAGAAAGAAGAAGATAAATACAGCCACCCAGAAATAGCTGTTGTGAACATTTTTGGAGTATCTGTTTATCAATGTGTCATCTTTTTATCTATCTTTCATGTGTGTTAATACATCTACCTATATTTGAAATCATATATTACAAACTGTTTTTAAATTTAAACTCACCAGCACATAAGAACATCTATCTATGTTAATAAATACATGTCTACAACATAATCTTTAATGGCTGTAGATTGTTTCATTGTATGATTGGATCACAATATAATCATTCTAGTACAGTTAAATGTTTAAGTTATTTTTAATTATTTATAACTCTAAACAAATATATGATTAATATCTTTGTAGCTAAATCTTTTTTTTTTCTTCAACTTTTATTTTAAATTCAGGGGTCCATGTGCAGGATGTTCAGGTGTATTACATAGGTAAACAAGTACCATGATGGTTTGCTGCACAGATTATCCCATTACCTAGGTATTAAGCCCAGCATCCATTAGTTATTCTTCCTGATGCCCTCTCCCCCTCCACAACCCCCCTCCAAGAGGCCCCAGTGTGTCTTGTTCCCGCCGTGCGTCCACGTGTTCTCATCATTTAGCTCCCCCTTAATAAATGAGAACATGTGGTTTTTGGTTTTCTGTTCCTGCATTAGTTTGCTGAGGATAATGGCTTCCAATTTCATCCATGTCCCTGCAAAGAACAGGATCTCATTCCTTTTTATGGCTGCTTAGTATTCCATGGTGTATATGTACCACATTTTCTATATCCAGTTTATCATTGTTGGGCGATTAGGTTTAGGTTGATTCCATGTCTTTGCTATTGTGAATAGTGTGGCAGTGAACATATGTGTGCATGTATCTTTATAATAAAATGATTTATGTTACTCTGGGTATATACCCAGTAATGGGATTGCTGGGTCAAATGGTATTTCTGCTTCTAGGTCTTTGAGAAATCAACCCACTGTCTTCCACAACAGTTGAACTAATTTATGCTCCCACCAACAGTGTAAAAGTGTTTCTTTTTGCCTGCAACTTCACCAGCATCTGTTGTTTTTTGGCTTTTTAATAATAGCAATTTTGACTCGTGTGAAATGTTATCCATT